TTTCCCCAAAATTTTTTTTAACCCGGGGTTAAAAAAATAAAAACCCAAAAAAAAAAAAAAATTTGGGCCCCCGCATTGGGGGGGTTAAAAAACAGGGCCCCAAAAAACCCCCAAGAAAAAGTAAAATTTCCCCAATTTTTTTACAAAAACCCTTTTGTTTTTTTTTTATAATTATTTTTAAATTTATTTTTAAAAAATTTTTTAAAATTTTCTTCATTTTATTAGCCCCTTTTGAACAAAAAAGAATACCAAAAGATGTGACAGGAATATCAATCATCACGAATAAAAAATAAAAAATAAATAATAATAATAAAAATATTAAATTAAATAAAATATTTTAAATTTTTGATTATTAGAAAGGGTTCGGGTATAAAGAGCCAAAAATTTCCCAGCTGAATTTAAATTTTAATTTATTTTTAATAAATATAAATATTTAAAATTTATAAAATTTTTGGAATGTTGTTTTGAGGCTAAGGCGAAAGAAAAAAGCGAAAAGTTTTTAAAATTTTTTCCAAATTTTCTTCATTCTGTCGGATCTATATCCATTTACATTTGCTTACATATATATATATATATGTTACATATATATATATATATATATATATCAGCTTACTAGAATCTAATTTTTTTTCTCACTTGTGTGTGTGTAGACTCATGTCGATTTTAGAAACTGAAATTGACGGAGAGCCCAATATACGCACACACACACAAATAAATACATATATATATATATATATATATATATGGCTATATGTTGAGATGAGGTACCATTATTCACATTATTTATATTATTTGGAGTGATATATTCATATTCACAACATTTCGGCCGCTGTACACTCCAGCCTTCTTCAGATGATTAGACTTTTGAACCGAACCCTTTATTTCTTCCAACGAGGTAGATTGTTCTAGTTCCATGTCACAATCTACTCCGGTGGACGAAGTAAAGGTTTTCGTTTCGAAATTCTACAAGAAGGCCGGAGCGTACAAAGGCCGAAACGTTATGAATATGACAATAAAAATGAGGATATCAATCCGAAAAATGTAAATAATGTATATAAATATATGTATATTGATATTTCAGTTGTCCAGTCTTAAGATTTCATTGTTGCAAAATCTATGCTGAGTAAGATGTATCAGAAGTGATTTTTTTTGTGAAGGCCAAGAATGTGCATGATCGTAATGCATTTATCCACAACAAATAAATCAAACAAAAATAAATAGACAATTCAACTTCAAGAAATTACTGAAAACAACGTCATTCGAGATTTCAACAATAACATGAATTTATATATATATTTGACATTTCTTCACACGGCAATAGTTACGCGAGTTGAGTGTTGAGTTGTTGAGAGGTTGGTAGTGGTTATTGAGTCAGTGTGTTTGGCACGCGTGGGGTCTGCTTGGTTTCTCTCGAAACTCAGTGTCTGACTAACTTGAATTAAGTCGAGCGATTCTTTTTATAGATTTTCGAGTTTCCAAATAGGCTCCAGGGCCCTGCGCGGGGAAAAGTTTTGTCTCAACTTTGCTATATTGGGGGATTGAGTTTGGAAAAGTAAAGTGATGATTGATTAAAGATTTATTTGGGAAAGAGTGCATCTTCCCGTATGGGGTGACAGGCAAATGTGGAGGATTCCATACCATAATAGAATTGTCTAAATTTCTTAGATAAACTATTGTCGCTATCAATATTTCACAACGCTGTCTTCTATTTCTTACAATGTACATCTGAATGTTGCTATAAAAATCAATTCTATTGATTCACTCTTTCTTTTTCATTTAACTTTACAATTGGCGTCCAGTCGAAAAAGTTCATACATATTTTATGATCCATTTCTTAACGGAATCATCAATTTTCATTTGAAATATTTTATTTCACACCTCTTCAAATGAACAGAAATCGACCTCACTTTCGCCAAAAAATATAATCGTAATCAATTTAAAAAAAAAATAACTGAAATATTCCAGCATTAATATTTGCTGTGTGTTAAATTTTCCAGCGAATAATTGATTTCCAGTTTCTTATCCTGTTTATAGTTTAAAAAAAAGATGTGGGCTTACGGCCAAATCGCGACGAAACACTGGTTTCCGTTGGTTAGTTGATTTTATTTAGCAGCATAGAAACACCTCTATGGATTATTTTTTGCCGAATTCTTTTGAACGGGGTTTTATGGCTTCAGCTTTATTTGCTATAAAAATGTATTATTGGTAATTTTTGTATAAAATGTACTGTTTGTCATTTTGCTATAAAATATATCGTTGGTCATTTTACTATAAAAATGTACTGTTGTCCATTTTACTATAAAATGTATTGTTGGTCATTTTACTATAAAAATGTATTGTTGGTCATTTTACTATAAAATGTATTGTTGGTCATTTTTACTATAAAATGTATTGTTGGTCATTTGGTATAAAAATGTATTGTTGGTCATTTACTATAAAATGTATTGTTTACCATTTTACTATAAAAAAATGTATTGTTGGTCATTTTACTTATAAAAATGTATTGTTGGTCATTTTACTATAAAAAATGTATTGTTGGTCATTTTGCTATAAAATGTATTGTTAGTCATTTTATATCAAATTATTGTTGGTCAAATGTTTTTGTTGGTCATTTTACTATAAAATTTATTTTGTCCATTTTGCTATAAATGTATTGTTGGTCATTTTACTAAAAATGTATTGCTGTCCATTTTACTATAAAAATGTATTGTTGGTCATTTGACTATAAAATTTATTGTTGTCATTTTACTATAAAATGTTTTGTTGGTCATTTACTATAAAAATTTATTGTTGGTCATTTTATAAAATGTATTGTTGGTCATTTTACTATAAAAATGTACTTGGTCCATTTTACTATAAAAATGTATTGTTGGTCATTTTACTATAAAAAATGTATTGTTGTTTTGTATAAAATTATTGTTGGTCATTTTAATAAAAAAAATGTATTGTTGGTCATTTTACTATAAAATGTATTGTTGTCATTTTACTATAAAATGTATTGTTGTCCATTTTACTATAAAATGTATTGTTGGTCATTTATTATAAAATGTATTGTTGAGGTCATTTTACAAAAATGTATTGTTGGTCATTTATAAAATGTACTGTTGTCATTTTACTATAAAATGTATTGTTGTCCATTTTACTATAAAATGTATTGTTGGTCATTTTATTATAAAAATGTATTGGTGTCCATTTTACTATAAAATGTGTTGTTGGTCATTTGACTATAAAATGTATTGTTGGTCATTTTGCTATAAAAATGTATTCCATTTTACTATAAAATGTATTGTTGGTCATTTTACTAAAAATGTATTGGTGTCCATTTTACTATAAAATGTATTGTTGGTCATTTGACTATAAAATGTATTGTTATAAAAATGTTTTGTTGGTTTTACTATAAAAAATGTATTGTTGGTCATTTTGCTATAAATGTATTGTTGGTCATTTACTATAAAAATGTACTGCTGTCCATTTTACTATAAAAATGTATTGTTGGTCATTTTACTATAAAAATGTATTGTTGGTCATTTTGCTATAAAATGTACTGTTGTCATTTTATTATAAATGTATTGTTGGTCATTTTACTATAAAATGTATTGTTGGTCATTTTACTATAAAAATGTATTGTTGGTCATTTTACTATAAAAATGTATTGTTGGTCATTTTTACTATAAAATGTATTGTTGGTCATTTTGCTATAAAAATGTATTGTTGGTCATTTTACTATAAAATGTATTGTTAGTCATTTTTAATAAAATGTATTGTTGGTCATTTTAACATAAAATGTATTGTTGGTCATTTACTATAAAATGTTTTGTTGGTCATTTTATTAAAATGTATTGTTGGTCATTTTACTATAAAAATGTATTGTTGTCCATTTTACTATAAAAATGTATTTTGGTCATTTTATTATAAAAATGTATTGTTGGTCATTTACTATAAAAATGTATTGTTGGTCATTTGCTATAAAATGTATTGTTGGTTTTACTATAAAATGTATTGTTGTCCATTTTACTATAAAAATGTATTGTTGGTCATTTGACTATAAAAATGTATTGTTGTCCATTTTACTATAAAATGTTTTGTTGGTCATTTTACTATAAAAAATTATTGTTGGTCATTTTGCTATAAAATGTATTGTTGGTCATTTTACTATAAAAATGTACTGCTGTCCATTTTACTATAAAAATGTATTGTTGGTCATTTTACTATAAAAATGTATTGTTGGTCATTTTGCTATAAAATGTATTGTTGGTCATTTTACTATAAAAATGTATTGTTGGTCATTTTACTATAAAAATGTATTGTTGGTCATTTTACTATAAAAATGTACTGCTGTCCATTTTACTATAAAAATGTATTGTTGGTCATTTTACTATAAAAATGTATTGTTGGTCATTTTGCTACAAAATGTATTGTTGGTCATTTTACTATAAAAATGTACTGTTGTCCATTTTACTATAAAATGTATTGTTGGTCATTTTGCTATAAAATGTATTGTTGGTCATTTTACTATAAAATGTACTGTTGCCCATTTTACTATAAAATGTATTGTTGGTCATTTTGCTATAAAATGTATTGTTGGTCATTTTACTATAAAAATTTATTGTTGGTCATTTTGCTATAAAATGTATTGTTGGTCATTTTACTATAAAAATGTATTGTTGTCCATTTTACTATAAAAATGTATTGTTGGTCATTTTACTATAAAAAGGGACTGTTGTTAATTTTACTATAAATAAATACTGTTGATAATTTTTTATTTATATAAGAATGTATATGATATATTGTTATTGATTATTTACTATAAAAATGAATTTTTATACTTTCATAGTGTTTTGTTTTGGAGATTCACTATTTGCCCATAACTGGGACCCTAACAGGTGCTACCACCCTGAGGCAAGGTGGACCTGCGAACAACAGCAATTAAGAGCTGATTCCACACTCCTCAAAACGTTCAATCGCCCGATCAAAAGCCGATGTAGTTTATACTCATACCCAGTAATACCGGTTCCAGTATGATCACTGAAGTTAAGCAACTTCGAGCCTGGATAGTACCACGTTGGGTGACCGCTTGGCTATACCTGGTGTTGTAAACTTTGGTGTGCGGGTGGTTTAACGAATAATTGTTAATCGGAAAGCCGAGATCTACTTTGGTTCATTATATTTATATACGGGCAAAAACCCTTGGGAAAGGCATGAACACCTCTGCTTCCTAGAAGGAGAGGTGTCAATTAGCAGGACTTGTATCACTAAACTTCAAAAATGTCTTCAATCTAAAAATATTTTCTGGTTTTTTGATAACCAGCAAAAGGGTCGATAAACCATAAAAATCGAATCATTCAACAACTAACTAATTAAAAAAAATGTGCCAAGTACCTTTCCACACAGCAAATAAAACTACTACCATATTTTTGTATCAGATTCTTAAATTATTCAGTTATGTGCCATGCGTGATACAGGCTTAGACCATCCAAATCTATAGAACTCGGTCTGTCCTGCTATTTACTCATAGCTGGGGGTGGGGGAGAATAGGAGGATTCCTACCTTCCCAAAATCAATAGTTAATCTCGTAAGTGAGTGTAATGGATTCGACTGGAATTGAACTTGAAAATCCGATTCAGTTATGTGCCATGCGTGATACACGCTTAGGCGATCAGGTATCTTTCGATACATGACTGACGAGGCAGATTTTTCCCGCACTAGGTTGTCATTTCTTTTTGCGGTAGACCAGTTGCCATCCAAGGCTATAGAACCCAGTCTGTCCTGCTATTTACCGATAGCTGGAGGCAGAAGAAGAGGATCCATACCTTTTCCTCTGATAGAGCAACCGTATGCGTCTTCTTGGGCTGACGTCTTCCACTGAAAAGAAATTGGAAGGAAGTTCCACAGGCGAGAATTGCGGGAAGAGAAACTGTTAGAATAGAACAGACGGTTACATCTAGCTAGTTCAGCAATAACACGGTGAGACCTAACTGCCAATTTAGCAGCACGTTCAACCCTAGAACACTAACCATTAATGAAAGTTACACCACTACTAACCATGGGTATATCATACCCGATTTTGAAAATATCAAAAAAAATATTAACTATAAATCTTTATTTACATTATTCGTACTAATGTACTCATCTTTGTCACCATATTTATTACAACGTATCGGCCGTTGTACGCCCCGGCCTTCTTCAGGTGGTTGGAATGTCGAACTGAGCCCTTTATTTCGCTCATTGGGGTAGACTGTTCTAGTTCAACGTGTCATGTTTAATCAATGCCAGTTATCATTTATCTCCTGTTAATTCCCCTCTCCAAGTTCTCCATCTCCTTAACCGTGTATTGAACTCACACTCTTTGAGACTTGTCATTGGATCTAACTACCGCCTTTATCCACTGCGCCATGTGTCCTTGAAACTAGAACAGTCTACCCCAGTGGGCGAAAGAGTAAACATTCATAAAAAGATTTTAAGAAATAAAAATATAATTATATAATTCTTTTTTTTTGGGATTGAGTCAATACATTTTTTTAAAGATTGATATTTTTATTCCCGCAGAAGGAAACGTTGAAGAATTTACTGTGTTCTCTGACTGAAGTGAAATTCACGACAGTATAGAGAAAAAAAAGTAAATGTTTCAAGTGAATGATGGAAAATCTAGCCACGGCTGAGGAGTAAACTAGAGGCAGCAGAAATGTGGTTCTACAGAAGGATATTGAGAATTCCATGTACCGAGCGACTGTTTTGGTTAAACAAGCCATGGTTACAATTAAACGAAAAATAATAGGAACACCTGCCTATAAAAACTTTATTATATCCAAAGGTAAGAAAACTAAAATAAAAATGAAGCAATTATTACATTTGAGCAAAACAGTACAGTTATCATTAAAATCCAGTCAAAAATTTTCCTTTACATGATCTGTACAACTTGTGTCATGTAAACGTCTTATTGGAATAGATATTTATTCGTACAATTTTGTACAAAATGTGGCACAAGGTGTTGTAGAGTAGTTTTCACAGTGGAGGCTTGTATTTCAATAAGTCGTCCTAAATTAGGTTCGACGTACAAAACGTTAGGAACTTGAAATAAGAGTTAATGACGCAGCAATCTAGTTGTGATGGTTGGTACTTCAATGTCCGATATCGACAGACTCGCTCAACACCACCGAGCCCAACTGGCCACTGCTACTACTACTTATTATCTGTGGGAGAGTCTGTTACAATAGAATAGGTATTATGGTATAACACAAGGCCAAAAAGAGGATTGGGGAAAAGGACGGTCTTCTTCTGTCTTAATTCTAAACTTAGCTGGTCACAAACACTGACCCAAACATACCAACAATAGTCCTACCACCAAAACAACACATTCTCTCATACCTTTCTTAATACATCCACCATAATACCTCAATGTCTCTATAAAATCCTAACTAGTCCCCATATGTACATTTCAAAGTCTGTGGGTGTGTGGGGGGTGGGGGATGGAATAAAACAACAGTTTAAAAAAATACCCCAATGATAATTTACAGCATGAATTAATACTATTTATATGATCTGTACAATTTGCGTCTTGTAAAAGTCTTATTGGAATAATTAGGATATAAAAATTCTGATTGTATTTATACCAATGCAACCGGAAGTTATCGTAAGAAAAATATTAATAAAATAAATATATTTTACAAATATATAATTTAAATTTATTGCATATAATTTTAGTGAAACAAAGTACTAATATTAAACGTGATGAAATTAATATAATGAATATTATCAATGATAACATTTTAATCTACGTAATATCCTTTTAAATAATGACAATAGGTATATAAAAGTTACTCTAAAGTCTAAAGTAATACAAGTTGCCAGGTAGCTAATTTCAGCGGACTATCGCGAATTTTAAACCTATAAATGGCGTATAAGACGCAGGGTAATTTTAAAAGATTTTTAGTATAAAAAGTGCGTCTTATATTTGGTATATATTGTGAGGAACTATATCTCATGCGGTCAATTCTTCGAAAAAGGTTGACCATGCCTAACTTAGAGCAAATTAGACCAGCCACAGTTGTGAAGAATCATGATAACGCACGTCCTTAAGCTATGGCGAACCTAAAAGCAAGAAATCTTCGAGATAATGGTTATCCATTATTGCCATTTCTTTTCTGCATATCGACTCTTTTATGATAATTTTTTGTTTTAAAGCCGTTATTTTGAAACAAAAATGTATAACTTGAGAAGACAGAGGAATGTTTTAAATTTTATTTGAAGAATTTCGATTCTATGAGACACAGTTTTCCTTAAATCTAAAAATACTTTCCAGTTTTAAATAACTTGCAAAGCGTTGATAATCCGTAAAAAAATTAATCAATCAATGAAATACTGATTCGTTGCATAGACATGTCTTTTGAATTTATTTAAATTCTCCCGTATATATATGTATAGAAATTACCGCGGAGACAAATTGAGGGATCGTTTTATATATTGATCGTGATTTAAAATGGATACACTACTTTATATTTTCTTTTTTTTTTTTTTATCAATTTCTCATTAGGTATGAATCCAACATTCCCCACCAGCCATGGGTTAATTAGTAAGACTACTATCACTAAACCATTATTATCCCGAAAAAAGAAATTCTTACAATATAAAATATATTCTGACTTTAAATAACCTGCAAAGGGTTGAAAGCCCGTAAAAAACGAATCACTTCAGGTGCAAGCAAGGGAAATAAAATTTAAGAAAAACTATTCAAAAATTAATCATTAAACGCTTGTTATATCTGTTATTTTTACTATTAGCAGTTAAAGAAGCAAATAAAACAGAATTATAAAAAAGTGTTAAAATCGAATAACAAACATACACCTTCATCTGAGGAAGTAATGTACGATTACAAGCATTTTCCATTTTGTTAAACGTCTCTCTCGTCTTACAAAGAGATGGCGAGAAAGGGAAAAAAAGAAGAATTTAGAGAATAAAGCGTGCGTTGATATTTAGTCATTTTCAGAAGGCTTTGATGATATTTCAGCACATTCTCGCAAATCCATCTAACATTATAAAGCCATTTTATAGAGGGTGAACTCGCATCTATCTATCTATTCGAATCTGTTCATATCTAGCTATCTATCTATTCGAATCTATTCATATATATCTATCTATCTATCTATTCGAATCTGTTCATATCTATCTATCTATCTATCTATCTATCTATCTATCTATCTATTCGAATTTGTTCATATCTATCTATCTATCTATCTATCTATCTATCTATTCGATTCTATCTATCTATCTATCTATCTATCTATCTATCTATTCGAATCTGTTCATATCTATCTATCTATATATCTATCTATCTATTCGAATCTGTTCATATCTATCTATCTATCTATCTATTCAAATCTGTTCATATCTATCTATCTATCTATCTATCTATCTATCTATTCTAATCTGTTCATATCTATCTATTCGAATCTGTTCATATCTATATATTTATTCGAATCTGTTCATATCTATCTATCTATTCGAATCTGTTCATATCTATCTATCTATCTATCTATCTATCTATCTATCTATTCAAATCTGTTCATATCTATCTATCTATCTATCTATCTATCTATCTATCTATCTATCTATTCAAATCTGTTCATATCTATATATTTATTCGAATCTGTTCATATCTATCTATCTATCTATCTATCTATTCGAATCTGTTCATATCTATCTATCTATTCGAATCTGTTCATATCTATCTATCTGAATCAGTTCATATCTATCTATCTATCTATCTATCTATCTATCTATCTATCTATCTATCTGCACATGTGTATGTATGTTTCATTCAATTTCTCATGTTTTATTCGGCCTCATAAATTTTTTTAATTGTATGAAATCGAGGAAAAAGAATATTCTTTTGTTTGACACATTCTATGCCAATACTTAAAAATGTTAACCACGAACACGGCAATAGTGCGCTGTATTAGGAAAATAAATAAAACATCTCTATAACAGTAAAAACATACACACAACCCACACAGCCAATTATATTGAAAAAAAGATCATTCTTGATAATGACTAAAAGTATAGCCGAAATCTCTCGGAATTATTGAAAATTTGGACAGTT